CCAGGGGGTTTGGGCAGAGGGGCTCAGCAGCAGGACTGGATGTTCAAATGGCTCAGCGAGGTGCAGTATGTCAAGCAGAGAGGAAAATACCAGGATTTTGTATTCTCTGTGAAAGACTATTATATGATAGATTTGGAGTTCTGGATGGCTGTCGTAAAACTGACTCTAAATCTACAATGTAATATGAGCTAAGTCCAAATATTTCCTTTGCATACACTCTGTTCGATATGTCTAAATAGCGCAAACTGGGAAGGTGAGGAATGTGAGCCTAATAAAAATATCCTGAAAAAGCAGGGTAGGTCTGGGGGAAAAAATGTACACTAATTCTCATTAAAAAAAATGAAACAGAAAGCACGAATAGAGCTGAACTTACCCTGATGCCTGAAACAAAGGATTTTTTTTTTCTCCCACTCCCCTCATCTAGGATGAAGCTGTATGACGTGCGCATTGTTTTACCTCCCTGTAATCACATTGTGTCAGACCGGGAGGGTTGTTGGCACACAGGAAATGCTGACAACATATTAGCTGTTATTACAATTAGTATATTATTACTATCATTGGACAAGTGGCATTAACAATACAGCTTGACATCTGAAAATAGGAACATCACTGTTGCTTTTAATATTTATCATTGTCCCGACTGTGATAGTTGTATGACTGAATATATGTGAAAATAATATTTGCTAAAAACAAGGCCACTGTCACATAATCTACCTGAGGAGAAACTTCCCTAAGAAGGAAGGTTCTAGTGAACTGAAATGAAATTAAGTCAACAGCGTGAAGTTGTTCGTGTTTCCCAGGGAAGTAAGAAGAGAGTGAGAGAACTACGTTGAAGTTTTTTGTGAAAATAGGATACCCCCACATTAGTAGCCATAGACACCTGATTTTCTTCTCTTGTGGAGCAGAAGTAAAAATAGAGGTTATGAACCTAGATGTCAGAGCAACCTTGGACTCACTAGTCTGGGTAAAATACTAGAGATTAAGGAGGACTGGATTTCAGAAAAAGAATGAAAAGAAATCAGTGTGATGAGCTAAGAAAAGTCAATCATTGATCATTCATTCATTCACAGATTCATTCATTCATTCACAGATTCATTCTGAGCTGGATATTGTCTCAGGTGCTGTGCATACAGAGAGTGAGACATGGCCTTACTGCGCGGTAGCTTGTGGGAGGCAGTCATACACACAGTAAGACATGCACCGTAAGGGAAGAGCAGAATCATGTGTAAGGAAGAGTGAGGTCTGGGGCAGGGGGAGTCAGCTCAGCCATGAGAGGAGAAGGGCTTCCCAGTGGATCAGTGTGTGACCGCCTCCTCTCCAAAAGGCCATTAGAGACTTTTTTTTTTTTTTTAAAGATTTTATTTATTTATTTGACAGCGAGACAGCGAGAGCAGGAACACAAGCAGGGGGAGCGGGACAGGGAGAAGCAGGCTTCCCACGGAGCAGGGAGCCCGATGTGGGACTCGATCCCAGGACCCTGGGATCATGACCTGAGCCGAAGGCAGCCGCTTAACGACTGAGCCACCCAGGCGCCCGGCCATTAGAGACTTTTAAGAATTATTTTCAAGATCACAGTTATCCCTCCATAAGCTGTTGAAAAAAAAATATTGTCCTCTTGTAACTTGCTGTCATGTTGTTTTTCTTTTGTTACTCTCAATTTCCTTAAAAATAATAGTAATGGTGGGAAGAAAAGCTGCTGCCAGGCTGTCAGCAAATAAGGGAAGGCAGCAGGCTCATTCCTGGGGTGTGCAGAACAAAGAGACGAGATGCACAGACTGGCTCAGGCTGCTTCCTAATATCTTTCTTCCCTCTCAGTCCCTGCTCCCTGAGTCTGACATCTCCTTTCCCACTCTTCCCGGGTGCACCCATCCATTTTCCTAGGGACCCTGGAGAAGACAGTGTCTGGGGTGGAAAGATCTGCTTAGCAGTTGGTTGGTAATTGATGACTGGTTGACTCCTGCTAGATACAGCCATTCTTAGAAGGAAAGTCAGGAAGAACAAAAATCTTTTAGACTCAAGAGCCTGACTATTCAGAGACAGAATGGCAAGCATAGGTAGAGCCACTGGGCATAAATGCTAGCCCCTAACATTCTAGAAATCATCCTGCATATGTAGCTACACACTCTCTACCTCCTAAGAGGCTGACTTGGTGGAGACACCTTGCAACCAGCAGACTGACCATGGTCTGCAGTAAGCATGCCCATGTGAGAACTGAGACCTGGGTGTTTGTTTGGGGGAGAGAAGGAAGGAGTGCTATTTTGGGGGAACTATGTTGTGAGAAGGCAAGTTTGGCTCTCAGGACCATAGCCAAGTGCAGTGGGCTTTGAACCTCGTTTCAAGTTACCATTGGCATGGCGGACTCCACCTTGCTGGGTCTGGTGAATTTTAAGGCACTACTAAAACAATGACCAAGTTTCTCTGAATGCAGTTCTTATTCTCATTCTTCATGAATTTAAATCACTATACTGTCTTTCCTTTTTAAAAATATATATAGATGACCTCTTTGGAATGCAGGTTTTAATTTTATTTTAGATTTTTCTCCCCCTGGTTTTTATATGTTCATTTAAATTACAGCAAATGAGAGGAAATCTCCCGAATGTTTCAGTGATTCTATAACAGCAACAACATATCTTTGACGTACTAGGGCTCATTCACATCTACCAACATGCAGAAGGCTCCCTTAAACACTTGGGTTCTGTCGTGGGATCGGTGGTAGGAAGCGACATCAGATTTCCATACTGCATCTTATTTGGAGAAATAGGAGTTTACTATTATAAGAAATTGAATTGAACGTTCATTTTATTCTTAAGTTTCTCTTCTTATATTCACTTCTAAGTGAATATTTCTGGTTATATTCTCTCCCCAGTTAGTGATGCTTCCTTATGGCTTACATCTCACATCGTCTAGAATTTCAAAAACCATCAGATGGAAATGTGAATATCAGCAGAACTGCCTATACTCATTTGCTATGTCAAGAGAGAGAAGAGAGAAGTATCTGTAGACTGGGGTCTCTATATGGATGTGTCTGTAGATCTGTAAAATGAGATTTCTCTATGTGGATATTTAAAAAAAATCTACTACAATGAGATTATTGGAAGTACACATCAGGGCCCTTTTTATACATAAGAAGAGTAAGAACCAAACAAATATTCCATTTGAACATTCATGTCAATGGCTCCTTACCTTGGGATAGTCCTTAAGTTTAGCATTCATCAATCTTGAAATAATTATCAGTAGCTGTTTAGGGAACATATACAGCCCATTTTTTCAACGTGATCTTCCCAATATTTCCAAACAGAAGTGAAAAACCTAACTCTATTGTATATTTCTCATAACATGAGAAATAATGAGGTATGGTATATTATATCACATAAAATATAAGATATGAATATATTATATCTCTCATGTATTTCACAAAATCCCCCTTCCTTATTGTTAATTTGGCCCCATTTCTATATTTATGGAGTGGATACAAATTATTTTTTACATTTGAGCCCTTATGAATCCTCCAGGAATGCTCTAAGATTAGGCAAGAATTATATTTCTCTTTTTATATTTTCCATTGTTCCACTTATAACAAATAAGTGCCCTGAAGACACTAGGGGCAAGTCTGGAAGCTTCCATGCTCTTGTCAAGCGGGCAGGATGGAAATGCCATTATAGCAGTTCTATAGCTTGGTTCCATTCTGTCACCTGTCATGTGGAACCATAGTCTCCTCCACCTGCCTGCCACTCGGTTACCATAGTGATTAGGCCAAAGCAGTACATCAGTTCTGAAGTATGCACAAGCTAAGCATGGGATCTATCAAGCTGGACTGCTTGTTTCATTCAGAACTGTTTATTTCAGCTCGAGAATTACTCAAAATATAAACATCCCGAGACAGTAATCTACACTGATCAAACCGAGCAAGAATAATTCTGTTAGCACTCTAGGTTGTAAAGTGACAGCTGGTGACTATTGTGAGTGGCATAATAACATTAGCCTGGCTGGAACATCTCCAGGGCTGGGCTTAAATATTCCCAAGCATTGGCCAGACAATGAGACTAAGCAAAATCTTTTGAGAGTCTTGAAATGCGATTGCTGAAAGGTCAAGTTAGCAATTTTCCTTTCCAATATTCAAAACCAGTAGTGAAAGTGGAGATGTTGATACTATATCTAGACTAGAGGCTATCAGCAAGAGACCTTTTGAAATCTTAGGCTGATAAAGTAATTTGGGGAAGTTTTTACACTTCACAAGACAGCCACATACGCCTTGGAGAAGAAATCTTAGCTGAGTACCTAAATCCCTACTCTGCCACTAACCCGTTGAGAGACACCGGACAAGTGACAGTCTCTTTGAGCTTCAGGTCCTTCATCTGTAAAATGAGAGATTTGGAAGAACAGTCTTTAATATTTCATCCAGCTCTGAAATTCTCTGATTTTATGAGAGGAAATTATAAGATAATGAGGCTGAGGTTCAATTGTTGTGTGTGGACGGCATCACATTGTTTTATGTGGCACGTTATTGACCGATCCGTTTAATGCAAGTCATGGCTACTTTCACTAGGCTGGTCAAGAAACCCTTGTCAATCTCTCTCTGTTTGCTCTAGGGTCTTGTTATGACACCTCAGAAACACTGTCTTAGACAATCTGTAAAGAAGAGAGTTAAAAACATCCTCCCACCTTATGCTTCATTAGACTGCTCCATAGGCATGCCATCATGCAACACATTCAGACAACCAGAGCTTCTAGGAAGCATGGATGAGTTAAATAAAGGTCAGCATAGAAAATACAATTGTCCTCAACTTCCTATGGCACTATTTTACTCCCTAGTTTTTTTTTTCCATAGCATTTTAAATTGACATTAAACACAGAGCGACTTTATTAAGATAAGTATCTGATCAAGAAAAGAAGAGGTCGTTGGTTACTTGCAGAAAATTATTTGGAAGAAAGACCAAGAAGGACAAGAGGAAGGAGAGACCAAACATGTGGAGAGGAACAGATATTCAGAGGGAGCTTACGGATCAAAGGCTGCCAGCAGGAAGTTAAGCAGGAGGCTGATGGACTGCTCCACTTGGATTTGGTGAGTGGTTGGCATCCGTTTGTTGAGCTGGTAGAAAATGGTGGATAGCACAGCCTCCAAGCGGGCCACACTGAGTTCTATGTTCGGGTCCAGGTTGTTCAGAGCATTTTCCCGCAATGCTTCTATGACGTTCCAAATGTCCACCAGGTGCACTACACACAATTAAAGCAGAGGGAACACATCAGCCCAAATGCAGGGACAGGTAAGTTCATTATTTTACATGTACCATCTGTCTTGTTTTGTCAAGGCTCCTCACAGCCTTCAATATGTGTTCAACTCCTGTAGGGGCTGACATAAGTAAATGTACATAGACAGTGCCTGATCTCAAAGACTTGATGTGCAATGTATAAGAGCAAAAAAAATATTTCCTGAAACCACAGTAGATAGTTATTTCCAATCTTCAAAACGACCCTTGAAATACAGCTACTGTCTTTATGTTACAGGTGAGAAATTGAGGACCAGGGAAGCTAACTGACAAATGCCAAGGTCCAAGGCCAGTCAATGGCAAAACTGGCATTCAAATTCATGTCTCTCTGACTTTTAAAAAATATTGAGCTATAATTGCCATATAACATCATGTAAGCGTAAGTGTAAGGTGTACAACATGTTGATTTGATACATTTCTATATTGCAATGTGATTACCGCCATAGCATTAGCTAACATGTCGTGTCCCATAATTATCATTTCTTTTTCCGTGGTGAGAACATTTAAGATCTAGTTTCTTAGCAACTTTGAAGTATATAGCACTTGTGATTAAAATTAACAAGTCTATCTGGCTTGAAAGCATTTTCCCATTGCGCATACTGACCCCTTAAAAGGAAGAGAAAACCAACACTCACATTCTAGTGTTTGAAAAGATATCAAACCTGTATTTATTTAAACTATTTTCATTCATTTATATACTTTTCGTAGTATAAGGTTTGAAATAAAGAAGGGAAAGTTAAGGAAGGCAGGAAGAGAGGCAGGGGAAAAAGGAAAAGTAATCTCTAGAAGGCAGCAGCAGAACTTGGTCACAGATCACTTAACCTGGCCAAGAATAAACAGTGTTTTGGCTTATATTGTTGAGTAGCTCACAAAACTTAAGTCATGGTTACTTTCACTAAGATAGTCAAGAACTTCATTTCTCTTTCTTCCCTGTTCGTGCTGAGGTCTTGTTATAACATCCCAGAAACCATCACCACAATCAAGACAGTGAACGTCTCCATCAGCCCCAAACGTTTTCTCCTGCTCCTTTTAATGCACCCCACTCCTCATCCCAGGCAACCACAGATATACTTTCCAAGATGCTTTTCTAGAATTTTATAATGGAATTATAAAGTACGTACTCTTTTTTTTGGTCTGGATTCTTTTACTTGGTATAGTTATCTTGAGACTCATCCATGTTGTAGCATGCATTCGTAGTTTATTCCTTTACATTGTTGAACAATATACATTGTGTGGATATATCACAATTTAGTTATCAACTCACTTGTTGATGATACTTGGGTTGTTTCAGTTTTAGGTGAGCACAAGTGAAGTTGCTATGAACAATCTTGTACAAATATCTGTATAGACATATGCTTCCATTTCTGTTGGTAAATACTTGGAAATGAAGTGGCTAGGTTGTATGGTTGGTGTACGTTTAATTTTTGAGGAACTTCCCAAGTGTTTTCCAACATAGTTGTACTATTTGCCATCCACAGTGTATGAAAATTCCAGTTTCTCTACAACTTCACCAAAGGTTCACTTTAAGGTTCACTTTTCATGACACCTTTGCATTTGAAAACAAATCTGTTGTCTTTCTCAGTGGAATACATACTCACATTTCAGTTCCTGAGAAATGGGCACTCCATATATGCTTTGCTACCAACTCTCAAGTTTTAGTTTCCTACCTCTTTGTTCATTTCTAACACTATATTTAAAAAACAAAACTAACATCTATTGAACTTCTGGACTTGGGAGCCCAAAAGGACACTGGACTTGAAGTCCGAAGACCTACATCCAAACATGGCCCTCCTCCTCCAAGTGCACGCCCTCTTAGCCTCAAAGACTTGGAGCTTTACTTTCCTCATCTACAAAGCAGGATGGTGTTCCTTAAATGGGAAAACATCACGAAGTCAAAAGTGGGAATGCCTGATACACTGAGATAGTACATTACACTTGAACAAACGAACAATGTGAATCATGCAAAAAAAAAAAAAAAACCAAAAACAACCAAACCCACAACTTTCTAGCATATCTCTGATTTGGGACAGAAGAATATAAATCACTTTCCAACTGAAATACCTAAATGTTTATTAGATTTGGATAAATTCAGATTTATGTGATTGCAAATTTGTTACCTTCTCTGGAGATCACAGAACAAGGAAATTGTTTGTTTCTTCTTTTTATTCATTTTTTTTTTTTGTTTGGCAAGGTAGTTCCTCGGAGGTGGCTTGTATCTGTTTGTTTGTTTGTTTATTTATTTATTTAATTTCTTGAGGAATTAAGTTAATTTCTGTGGGAACTGGGGTTCCTGTATGTATTTCCTTTATGCTTGATCTATAGATTCTCTGGATCTAGTCCTTTGGGGATATGTCTGGGTGCAGAATGCAAAGATGTTCCTGCCTCAGAGAACTAACAGTCAGGTGGGGATAGAGACATGATTCTCAATCACACAGATAATCAGAAATGATGACCTACCATGACAGACAGGGTGCTAGGTACAAAATGGGATTATGAGATGGTTTGTGAAGAGGCCAGAGGAACAAGATAAGGCTGGAGAAGCACTATAGCTCTGGCAAGTCTTTTGGTCTTTATGCTGAAAGTATGAAGACATGGGTTTTAAACAGAGTGACGTGCTCAGAAATGCAGCTTAAAAATGTCATTTCAGAGGCTGGAGAAGCGCTATAGCTCTGGCAAGTCTTTTGGTCTTTATGCTGAAAGTATGAAGACATGGGTTTTAAATAGAGTGACATGCTCAGAAATGCAGCTTAAAAATGTCATTTCAGACTCTCAGGGAAGAGAGTAATGCATATGGACAAGCGTGCATGGCGGAAGTGGCTGGAGCCTGCTGCTGTGGTCCCAGCAGAGATGGTGGTATTTTTTTTTTTTTTTAAGATTCGTTTATTTATTTTAGAGAAGTGGGGAGGAGAGGCAGAGGGAGAGGGACAGAGAGAATCTGTAGCAGACTCCCCACTGAGCATGGAGCCCAACCCAGCTGGATCTCATGACCCTGAGATCATGACGTGAGACAAACCCAAGAGTCAAACGACGGAGCCACCCAGGTGCCCCGAGAAAATGATATTTTTGCAGAGGGGTGGCAGTACACAGAAAAACCGTAATCACGCACATTATACACACTTCTCTTCCAAAAGTGGCAAAGGCAGAGTTTGTAATCACAAAGATTGAGGTTTCACTTCTGGCTCTCCTAATAACTGTAAAACTGTGGGCAAGTTATTTCTCCTCTATACATTTTATTACTTCCTTTTTAGAAATGAGGAGACGAATAATATCCAGAGAGAGTTGTAATGAGGAGAAAAGAGAAAAAGGATAGACAAGTGCTGATCACAGAGTTTGGCCCATCGGTGCTCAACAGATGATAGCTATTAGTGTTAAAATAATTAAACACCTTCTGATCTACAGCCGCACTGTCCTCTTACTAATTTCCAAGATCTGTGACTCCAAACCTAAGTTTCAGCACAGTCCCCTCAAATTCAATAACCTAATTAACATATAATTTTGAGCATATACGATATAGGCAATACGAAAGAAGCTTAAACTACATCCCAGCCACAAAAGCAGATACTATTCAGTCTAACTGTCATAAATTCTGAGTTAGTGGAGTTTGAATCGATTTTGCCATATTTGATCATTAGAGACCTGGTGGGGAAGGCCCTCTTTCACAGAGACTTCTTGGAAATTTTATTTCATTGGGAACTACTCTGGGAGGTGCAGATCACAGTGCAGAATTGTGCAAGTTCCTGGACAGTAGGTTCGACCAACTTCTCCTACTGACCTTGAGCAAGTCACTTAACGTCCTTAAGTTTCAGTTTCCACATCTGTAAAATGGGGACAATAATAGTTGCGCCACAAAAACAACAAAAAACAGTTGCTCCACTGCAGGGTTATTGTGGGGATCAAATGAGATAATCCATATAAAGCACTTCACACTGTGCTTAGTGCATAAGAAGCATTTAATATCCATTAATTATTATTGAAAGGGGATCACAAGCCTTTTGCTTAATGAAATAGGAACGCTAAGAAATGTGCTAAGTTGAGAGTCATAAGGAAGCTATTAGGAAGTCTGTTTTAAAAGTCTGACAGTTGTATAAACATGTTGTTTACTCTTGAGCCATCAAATCATTTTAGAAAATGAAGACATTTAGGTTGTGCAGTGATGACTATACACCACTAGATGGCACTGTGCACACTTCACTAAATATCCATTAAGCTTTCATCATAAGCACCTGCTATTAGGCACAGGCATAGGAAGTGGGGTTTCCTCATCTACATTACTGCATACATTTTTTACTAATATACTAGATAAAGCAACGGTTTGTATAATAAAATTAATTGGTTAACACTAACTATATCAAATATAAACATGTATTCTTAAAAGTAGTACTTAGAATCTTAAAAATAATATTAGTGTAAATTTTGGACATTATTAATACCTAACAGTTTGTATTCATAAATAAATGAAAGTAGACAAAGCCTCAATAGTTTGTTTTCAATCCAGGCAATCTCAATCTCAGGTATATATATATATATATGAAGTGTTCTTTGGAGCAGTGAGCAGGTCTCAAACTGTGGCCTCTGATTCCACAGGTCTGGAGTTTGGCCAGGGCATCTCCGGTTTCTGCTGCTCCTTAGGTCATCTTGAAAAGCAACAATGTTTGAGAACCATGGCTATGGAGCGTGACTTAAAGAGGCGAGAGATAAGAACAGGAAATTGATGCTCATTTGAGCTAGAGGAATTTATTTAAAAGGTATCACAAGAATCCTGGGAGGAAGGATTGTGGTCAAGAAAGCCACAGGCAAATTGGCCAGTTGTTAAGATTTTCTCAAATAAATAATTTATTTTTATGCCCTTATTCAGGCCTTTAATCATGACAAAGCCATGTTTAAAAAGCTCTTAGGGAAGAGAAATTCAGTTAAGTGGTATGCTTTGCCAGGGTCAACAAACGCATT